GGCTACCTAGTAAAATATGATAGTTGATATGACCTGGAAATGGGGAGACATTGGCCAAAAAGCACTAACTTCCAGTTACAGGATCAGTCAATTCTGGGGGTGTAATGTACACACCATGGTGATAATAGTCGTTGCTACAAGAGCTCTCAAATGTTCTCACCACAAAAGAGACATGATAATAATGTGTGGTGATGGAAGCGTCAGCCAAAGCTATGAGAGCAATCATTCTGCAACATGTAAGTGTATCAAATCAACATACTGTGCATCTTACGGAATGTATTATGTCAATAATATCTCAATAAAACTAGAGAAAATAGGGGCGCCTGGGTGGCGCAGTCGGTTAAGCGTCCGACTTCAGCCAGGTCACGATCTCGCGGTCCATGAGTTCGAGCCCCGCGTCGGGCTCTGGGCTGATGGCTCAGAGCCTGGAGCCTGTTTCCGATTCTATGTCTCCCTCTCTCTCTGCCCCTCCCCCGTTCATGCTCTGTCTCTCTCTGTCCCAAAAATAAATAAACGTTGAAAAAAAAATTAAAAAAAAAAAAAACTAGAGAAAATAAATTGCAAAGAATGGAAGAGGAATCTGAGATTAGGAGATCCTCAAGAGCTTTTATTAATCACAATGTATTAAACTTATTTGGATCTTGGGGCTTGTGAGTGGCTCAGTCAGTTACACGTCCAACTCTTGATTTTGGCTCAGGTCATGATCTCACAGTTAATGAGTTTGAGCCCCACGTCAGGTTCTGTGTGAACAGCATGGGGCCTGCTTGGGATATTCTCTCTCTCTCTCTCTCTCTCTCTCTCTCTGCCCCTCCCCTGCTCGTTCTCTCTGTCTCTCTCAAAAATAAATAAACATTAAAAAAATTATAAACTTTCTGGATCTTGAGTCACATAAAGCAATTATAAATATTAAAAATATGATCTGTTGGGTACATCTACCCGACTCTTTCACAACAGTTACACAGTACCCAAAGGCATTTCTGTTTTATATATAATCTTATACAATAACTTATTTAATATAAAACACCATACTTTGGTTTGACAGGCTGCCTTTACTTCAAAGTATCCCGGAACAACTGAGAAAACAACCAACGATGGTATTTCCAAGAGAAAAGAAAATTATCTTAAAAATTGAACTAATTTCCAGAAACTTATCAGTATATCATTTTCTTAAGGTTTACTCGCATGTGAAAAAAACAAATCATATTTTTTTAAGTTTATTTTTACTTATTTTGAGAAAAAGAGAGACAGCACCAGTACGGGAGGGACACAGAGAGGAGAAGAAGAGACAGAATCCCAAGCAGGCTCCATGCCGTGAGTGCAGAGCTGGATGCAGGGTTCGAACTCACCAGCCAGGAAATCATGACCTGAGCCAAACCCAGAAGTCAACCACTTTGCCTGGGTAGTTCAGTCGGTGGAGCATCCAATTTGGGCTCAGGTCACGATCTTGTGGTCTGTGAGTTCGAGCCCCACATCGGGCTCTGTCAGCACAGAGCCCGGAGCCGGCTTTGGATTTTATGTTTCTCTCTCTCTCTCTGCCTATCTCTCTCTCTCTCTCTCTCTCTCTCTCTCTCTCTCTCTCAAAAATAAATGAGCATTAAAAAAAAGTCAACCACTTAACTAACTAAGCCTCCCAGGTGCCTACATATTATATGTTTTTAATTATATAAAAATATTACAGATTCAGGTGGGGCAACATGTTTATGGGTTTATAAACGCAAGCACATTAGGCTTAATTAAGCCATTATTCTAGCAGCATGTACTGGAGCCTTACTACTATATTTTAATCATATTAAATTCATTAATATGAGGTTGGATATGAACTCTATAATAAGGAAGATTGAAACCTAGCTACATATAACAAGCTGGGTCTGCAAAAGAAAATTTTTAAGGTTAGAAACAAGTGCTTAACAGACCTGGATTTAGAAGTTACACTTCGTCTTGCCTGGAGTGAATCTAGTCCTTGTATCGTTTATGTTAATTACAGAGCTGCTAATCATACTGGGAAGAATACAAAAACCAAATGGAAAAATCATTCAGGATATAAAGTAAGTTCTGATGAGGAGGAAGTGCAATATTGAATTAAAAGTAGCAACCACACACCTGCTGAGCCTCCAGTGTGTAAGCACAGAGGGGCTCATCAGTTTGTGATTGTTCACTCATTTGAACACACAAAATAGGTTTCATTTCTCTGCATTCTTCTGATACACTACAAAGGCCGAGGAAAAATGCTTAGAAGAACAGTAAAAACAAAATAACCACAAAATTCGTAAGCACCGCACGCAGCAACATTACCACAGAGAACATGAAGAACAACAGTTTGTCGTCCAAATTGTGAGCAGATCTGTGCAAGCGCTCTCACCAAAGCTGAGGGGCACAATCAGGCAGCAGGGGCGTCTAAGAAGGAAGGGCCCAGCTTCCTGGCTCTTCTTTTCCCAGTATCCTCTTCTTTCAGTGGTAAGTTCAAGATACAGTAAAACTTCAAAAACTGGACTAGAATCCCTCATTAACTGCTGGGATTTTTTTCCCCTACTAATTTGGGGGGACAGTGTCAAATCACACATCCATATGCACACACATTCATACTAGATTTAATTAAACAAATGCATAAAACGTTTGTAAATATACCTTGGACTCAGTATAAATTTAACCTCAGGGGCGTCTGGGTGGCTCAGTCGGTTAAGCGTCCAACTTCGGCTCAGGTCGTGATCTCGCAGTTCTTGGGTTTGAGCCCCATGTCAGGCCCTGTGCTGACAGCTTGGAGTCTGAAGCCTGCTTCAGATTCTGTCTCCCTCTCTCTCTGCCCTTTCCCCACTCACACTCTCTCTCTCAAAAATAAATAAATATTAATTTTTTTTTTCTAATTTAACCTCGAACGCTGTGAATCTTTCACATTCACATTTGTGTAGTAAACGCTGACCTACAGAGTGAGACTAGCTTGCAGTGCAGCCTAGCTCTAGCTCGTAGAGTTAAAAGAGGCTTAAGTTCAAATCCCGGCTTTCCCACTTGCTTGTTAAATTAGGAGCCTTCATTGTATTCATCTGTGTAAAATGGGAATCATAATTTACCTCCTAGGGTTGTTATCACAATCGGAAGAAACCATCCATGTCAAGCACATTGGAAGTGGGCACTACACTATCACCAATTCAGTTTTCCTATATAAACTCTTAAAGCAAGTGTGTGTGTGTGTGTGTGTGCGCGCACGTGTGTGTATTAGAAATCTTTTGGTAAGGCAATCTAATGCAGATTTTGTTAATGAATGTACTCTAACCTGCAAATGCAATTCGTTCTAACACCCTATTACATAATTCTCTCTTTTTATTTATTTTTTAATGTTTATTTATTTTGAGAGAGAGACAGACAGAAGTGAGTGGGAAGGGAGCCGAGAGAGTAAGAGAGAGACAGAATGAGTGGGGGAGGGGCAGAGGGAGAGAGAGAATCCCAAGCAGACTCCATTCTGTCACGTTTCATGAACCGTGAGATCATGACCTGAGATGAAATCAAGAATTGGACGCTGAACCGACTGAGCCACCCAGGTGTCCCTAATTCCTTCTTTTTCACAGTGTTATTTTCCTACTTCACCGAGAAGCAAGTACCTACCACCTGATAAGAGAAGCTGAGAATCAGATGGGGCTGGGTTTGAATTAGCTGAGTGACTGAAAGTTACTTAAATTTTCCTATTCTCAGCTCTTTCTTACTTGGAATAATTCTTGGTAGAAAGATTAAAGGGGTCACTTGACACAGAGTAGGACCCAAAATAAATCGTAGCTCTTATCAATATTATAATCTACGTAGTTATTCAATCTTTACATTAAATTTTTTATTACAGTACTCAATATTTAATTTGTATCATAAGTGAGGCTTAACACTAATAACATTTAAAGGATATTTTTAAGTCCTTGAATAAAATGGCTTCACTTTACTACCAATTTCCGTGATTTAAAAGATAAATGAATTGAGTTAATTGGAAGAACAAAAGCTGTCTAGTTTACCAAATTATTGACGTTTGTTGAGCGATGTGGCCTCTTGGGTGAAAGAGAAATGTTAACAGATAAAAAAGGAACATGTGATACTAAGATATTTAGGGAAATGCATGTTGTCACATGTTGATACTCTGGAGCCCTGGTACTTTTCCATGAGATGCAAACACATGAATCATTTTTCCATCTTAGACATGCTCAGACCTGAAAAGAATTCAAAGCATAATAGACGTCCTTTTCCACCAGGATTGAAGAATCAGAATGACAATAACATATTTTTGTAGAAAGAGTGTAAAATCATTCTTCTATTGTTCAGCCTATTTCAGAAAGAACCAAAACTCCTGCCGTGAACTCCAGCAACAATAGATTTTTAAATCAGCAGCTGGTTAATGTTGTAAGAATGAATCATGGAGCAGAAGTGACAGCTGGATAGGATCCAGGGAGCCCAAGAGATACTAGAGATAATTTTGGCATTTTAAAGGGAGACTTTCTTGAGTGCCTCTGACCTGGTGCTACATACATCTCAATTTAAGGTGACAGATAGTGTGATAAAAAACAAAGTACAATTATAATTTAAACCCAAAGGATCTAGACAAATACAAGTGTCTTAAAAGGTGGTGTCTTTTCCAATCAGGCAAAGCATTCACTTCACCCGAGATCTCTTGGTTAAATCCTGGAAATATCTAGTGTTCCACTTAGAACCGTTTAATGTTTATTTTTTTTTATAAGGAATAAATTGGATCTGTTTTATGGTCAAGTTAAAACAAGACTTCTACCTAGAAGCTTGACAGGTAAAGCCACACCAATCTTTTCAGCTTTAAAACCAGTCAAAAAAAAAATCTGTTTTATGCTTCTCAGACTAGACAACAAAGTCATGAGAGGTTTTCCCCTTCAGATTTAGTGTAAATGTCCCCACCTGACACACACAAAAGCCGAACTATCAAACGGAATGATGATACTGGTGTTCAACACCTGCATTTCAGAGCCGCCAACAAAGGGAGACGGAGACTTTGGCCTACACACCTGTCGGATGGGCGGATGCCTTTCACCTCTTCTGCTCCTGATGGGTCCCCACAGGACAGCAGTGGAAAAACACACTCTTCAAAGGGTGATGCGCAGAAGAACAGGCGAACAAAACTTCTGCGTATTCGGAGGTTTATGTGCCGAGTCATAGGGTTTATCTGGCAACATGCTTGGAAGGAAACTATACACTAATAGAAAAAAAAAAAAGTTTAGTTTGCTCCTAAACAAAAATGGGGGGAGGGGAAGGCAAATTTCTAAAAACACCAAAAGAAGATAAATTATTATTTAAAGGATTCTAAATGTATGACATTCGGTAGCAGGTATGGTAGCTAATTTTTACGTTATTACTAGAAAAGGTATCAAGCATAAATACAGCCTATGTATATTTCTGGAAAAAGAATTTTGAAAAACAGTTATCTTATGAATACCAGACACGTATGTAGTTTATAGTCTTTAAACACTTATTTGCATACTTAATTTAATGTCGTATGTATTCGTATCATTTTAAAAATAGTATACAATTGCTTTAATCTACTCTTTTGAAACCTTGAGGTGATAAATGGATGAGTCACTAAGAAATGAACAGGTACAGAACCTGTTTGGGAAATGTTTAACCAAGCTGCTTAAAGTAAGAGAAAAATAAAAATTCTAACAATTGTGTAACTCAAAGTATCACATTATAGAAAATCTGAAAGATTTCACTTGCAATACCACTTAAAATAGCAGTATGTGTAAAAGATAATAAAGTATTAGGACTTTGTATATGTTAAAGCAATTGGGACTTAATTACATCTAAAAATGTTTTTCAAACACTGGGTTAAATGTCTATGTCACCAAACAATAAGACGTCTTTAAAGCGTTTTAATTTATAAAATAATTATTTCAAATTACCCTATGTATCTAAAAGGATTTCACAAAACAAGATTTTTGAGGAGCTTTAATAATGATTTGGATGCACAGAATTCTTTTTTTTTCATCGATAAAAAAATAGGGATATTCAGGTACACCACCGTCATTTCTAACACTGCAATTTGTTTCAAGGCTAGAGGGGGGAAGCTAAAAGTTTGTGTGCATTTCTGATGACAGATGTGGACAGGAGCAGAATCTCTTTGGAGTTTCTGGAAGATGAAAAACAACTTTCTTTCGTGCTCTTTTCTTAAGAGAGAGAGAACAGATTTGTGAAGCTACCACCTAGCCAAATATCAAGCTCTGGAATTCTTCCCAAAAGTTGTGACTGGGTAATGTTTCTATTCAAATGAAGTGACTTAGTCATTTACGTATAATTACCATTCAAGAGAGCAAGTGCACATACGAGACCAGAACGTCTCCAGAACAAACCACCCCTCCGTGGCCATCCTCCTAACCCGTGCTTGAACTTTGGCGGTACTTAAAACTCAAGCTGGATTGTCCACTACCTATAAATGAAGCTGAAATGTGCCGACTGTGAGGATAAGTTTCGAGGAAGCTAATAGGTTTTAGTGTCTGAAACTTTCGGTAATCTGGCTTTAAGTGTCATAGGTCTTTCAAGGTGGATTCCATCTGTCCTATAAAGTTATGTATTGAAACATAATGCATCCCTTTGATCTCCTTTGTAAAAACCCTATGAAGTCAACAAAATGCCCCCATTGACTCAACAGCCAGATCCCCAAACTGTTGACATGAAAGATTTTAACACTTGTAAGTGTTAGTAAACAGTAAGGCAGCTATGTGTTGAAAGCCTCTCAATAAAAGGAGTTGGTGATAGGCTGAGTCTTGCCACAAGTACAGACTGTCCTACTAATATTTTGTACCAAAATCAGACAAAAGAGCATGGTTCAAACCAGAATTAGGCTTGGTAATGTCCATTCACATACAACCCCTAAGTTATTCCCTAATAAAGTATTTATATTTTATTTCCGAATCATTTGAGTTAGGGGAAAAAAGTATTCCAGCAACATAGATTCATAATATGGTAAAGAACATAAAGAATATATACATGGATGTGGACTTACGTATGTATGTATTTTTGTTTGTTTATAATGTTACGTATTTGTGTATATATGTATGCACATATTCAAGGAAGGTGCATAGAGGGAACAGGGTGCAGAGAAAATTATGTTGGCTTTTTCAGTCAGAACGATCCAAGTCCAAATATTGGCTATTACTGCTGAGTAGCCTTGATAATTTTTCTTATCTTTAAAAATGAATAAGTATTAATACCTACTTCACTGATTGTTAGATTGAGATCAGCAATATTAAGCACTTAGAATAGTAGCAATCAACAAATACTATTTCTCTTTTCCTTCCCCATATCATCATCATACCCAGACTTGAGTACAAGTTTTTAATCCAATTTTAGAATTTAATTAGTCTGCTATTTCAGCATTAACCTATGTCCTCAAGTTCTTGAGACATTGAACACAGACTCAGTAGGCTCTTATTGAAAGGCAAGGGAATGTGGTCTGTCTCAGGTTTGCAATTCCCTGCTGATCTAACAAAGCAAAATCTTGTTCCTCCTTCAACAACCTGGTCAGGTGTCATATCCTCTATAAAGACTCCCACAATCCTGCTGGGCAACAATAATTAAATGTTCATTTCTCTGTTCTCCCAAATCTTGGCTCATACTATTAACATAGTACTTATTATATTCCATTCTACTTACTTTTTGTCATGCTGTTATCATATTATTAAATTGCATTATATTTACTTCTTGTCCTATCTACTTTCTCTCAGAGAAATTGAGTTCCATGAGGTTGGGATCCAGGTCTTAGCCTTCCTGATGGGCTTCCTGATGGGCTTCCTGATGGGATCATCATGTAGCACAGAGCCTGGTAGATAGAAACATACAACAAAAAGATAGAGGGAAGCAGGAAAGGAAGCCAGAAGGACTAGTTCCCTACTTTTCTTATACTGTGTCTTTGATCATGGACTCAACAACAAGTAAGGTTTAAAAATAAATAATTCCATTAACTGGAAGAATCAAATAGTTCTAAGTCCTCCCCAATCTTGAAATATGATTCTATATTATTTCAGCATCTCACTTGTGAGCTGCCTCAAAGATCTGCAAATTTTGTAACACCATCTAGCCAAGCATATGACAGATGGCTCTGAGATCAGCACTGTATTTTTGTGTGTGAACCAACAAACATTCTATGCAGGTGGCATCTGTGTACACATATTAGAAATGCTAGAGGCTTTAAGCTTGCAAACAGCGCCCTAAGTGAGGAAATGCACATGCCATGTGAATTTGTATAAGCACAAGAGCCTTTTACCTAATTCAAAATTAGTACTCACGTATAGCTGTCCATTTACAGATTTACTCCCTCTTCTCACCTAGCCAGTCTTACTCACATTCCCTTCTGGGTATAGCTTTTTCCTAGACATTTCCATTTATACACACATATACACACGCACACACATCTATGCACCTACATATACATAAGTGCCACTTTCTCTCAATCATCTTCCACAGTGATTGCCACCGAAGTGATGTGCCTAACTCTCAAATCTGGTCATTTTGCTTCCATACCACAACTTCTACATCATCAATGATAAAGTCAAAACTAACTGTATACCAGTCATAAGCAAATTACCTTCCACTTACCCGTTATACCAGGCTCCCTTGGGTCTCTATTCTTCTGCACATATTTTTTCCAAATACTAAGTTGCCATTTTCATGCTTCTCTTATTTAAAAAAAATATTTCCTTTCCTCTCTCTCTTTTTTCTTTCTTTCTTTTTTTTTTTTTTTTTTGGAGAGGAGAGAGAGAAAAAGGGCACAAGTGAGCAAAGAGCAGAGAGAGGGAGAAAGAGAGAAAGAATCCCACAAGGGGCAGAGAGAGAAGTGGGGCTCGTACTCACCCGATATGGAACTTGAACTCATGAACTATAGGATCATGACTTGAGCTGAAGTCAGATGCTTAACTGACTGAGTCACCCAGGTGCCCTGCTTCTGTTTTCAGGTCAACTGTCAACTTGTCTGAAAAACTTCCAATGACAACACTTTCTCCCTTGCCCACTGAAGAGTTGGATGCCCTGCTACTCTGCCCCCAGGACACCCTGTGTAGATGCATATACCATGCTTCATAAACTGTACTACATTGTTTACATGTATACTTGCCTCACAAGATTGTATGCTACTTGAGAATGGGAATGAAGTCTTATTCATTAATTGTATACTCAGCACCTAGAATCCTGCATGTGCTTACTTATTTGTTAAATAAGTAAGTGACTATATGGATACTATCTATAAAGTATTCATAATAACTTCATAAGGACATCCATGGAATTTCAAAGCTTAAAACAAACACTAGAAGATATCGTTGAAACATTGGGGATCAGAACTAAAGAAGTCGGCATAATAGAGTGGGATTAGTCATACACAAAACGATGCTTGACATTATGTCACATTATCTCCTCTTTTTTAAATGTTTATTTATTTTTGAGAGAGAGAGAGAGAGAGAGAGAGAGAGAGAGAGAGAGACAGGGTGCGAGCGGGAGAAGGACAGAGAGAGAGGGAGACACAGAATCCACAGCAGGCTCCAGGCTCTGACCTGTCAGCCCAGAGGCCAACGTGGGGTTCAAACTCACCAACCACTAGATCATGACCTGAGCCGAAGTCAGACACTTAACCAACTGAGCCACCCAGGCACCCTATGTCATATTATTTCTTTAAGTAAGATCAAGTCAGTTTGAAACCTTTATACAGAGGCATAGATTATATATATATTATATATAATATAATATATTATATATAATATAATTATATAATTATAATATAATATATTATAATATAATATATTATAATACAATATATTATATATAATATAATTATATTATAATATAATTATATATAATATATTATATTATATATAAATATATAAATAAATATATATACACACATATATATACATATATATATACACATATATATACGTATATATATGTGTATATATATATATGTATATATATAATCTGTCTTTCTAACCAAGTACCCCCTTGAGACTCCCAGATAGTGCGAGAGCAGACATGGCACCCATCGGCTGGCCTGCATCTTCATTCCGGGAGCAGGGCGGTAGGAGATGGAGCAAGCCCAGGAGCAGAGTACAAATGTAGCTCCCCAGGACCGTGGTTTCCGGGCTGCGGGTACTAGTGTCATAACCACAGGCTCATCAGACCCTCTGGAAAACTTGGAGCCTCAGCCTTCAGAGCAGCGGGTGCGCTGTGTCGCCCAGCAGCAAACGTTGGCACGTAAACCCCTCGTCGTCTGGTTCTGCCCAAGAAGTAGTTCCTGAGTCTCCCTCCACGCCATGGAGCTTCACCCATCAGCCTCAGACTGACAAGAGTAAAGAATTCGCCAGATTGTCATTTTGTCCCAAGCCTGATCCAGCCAAGGTCTGCTGTTTTTGCCTTCCCGGAAATGGATCACCACACGGGAAAGGAAGCAAGGCCTCGGCTCCTGCTATGGAAAGAAAAAGAGACGGTCCAGGTTAGCCAGGACATGAGCAAGAGAGCTGACCTTGGCTAAGGGGCTACTCCTGAGACTTTGCATCTTTAGGGAGTGATGGGGGGAGAAAAACGAAAAAAAAACAGAGCTAGTCAAAGTTTATTCACAGCATGGAGAGCAGAGTATAAAGTCCAGCAGCTAACTGGCTGTGTTATGAGCTAACACATTTACATGGGTTTCGGGCTTCATCCTGACAGTAAGATTCTAGATTGCCCACTTTATCTATGCTTGGTTTCACAAGTTTCCAAAGTTCTCATGTTTCCTAACTTTAGTTTTTTTTATTGAGGGTCAAGTTCTCCAGGACAGCCATCCTCTCTTGCTGTCTTCCGTTCTTGCTGAAGAAATCTCAAACCCCTGTCTGTGGTTATTAAAGGGTATGTGGCACAACAATAATCTGTAAGCGGGAAGAAACTATACATCATGTAGTCCAGCCCCCTCTTCCTTCAGGTGAAGGAAGAGAAGCCAGTTGAAGCTAAGCTGCTTGTTCTAGTTCATTGTATCCATTTAATGGGATACATGGAACTTTAGTCTTTAACTCCTGATCACCTCCATGACACCTTGCTAGTTTCACTGCCACTAGCAGATTAGGAATATTCTCGTGTTTAGAATTCTCCCTATTATTCTAAGTTGCTATGAGTAAAGAAGCTCCCCCATTAACTTACCTTGAATGTGTTCAAGCATTTCTTCCTTCATATCTGTATTATTTTTTTGACTTGGGATAAGAAATGGGAGAGATTAGGTTTGAACGTAAAGCTGTACTCCTCGCTGGAATTCAGACATGTCTGGGTACACAAATGAACAATCTGAGGAGAAATGAACAGCAGGGTTGAACAGTAAAGGGACACTTGACAACCTCTTTAGTTATCTTCTACCTGTTTAGAGCCATCACAACCTCTGCAATATACGGGTGATGAAACATAAAATAGAAATAAATGTGAATTTCACATAATTTGAAGAAAACACAAGTTTCTAAAAGCAAAAGTTATGTAGATAATAATCATTTATAACTTAACAGTTTTCACTTGGGCATGCATGTTAATTACAGTAAGGAAACAATACAGCACATGATTCACAGTTCTTCAACCATAAAGGGCAACCCATGTGACTCCAAAAGCTATCAATAGATTGCTATTGCTTCTAAGAAGATAAAAATAGAGAGCTGTGGGTTTGTTTTTTGGTTTTTGGTTTTTGTTTTTTTGTTTTTTTTTTTTGAGACAGAGAGAGTGCATGTGCATGCCAGCAGGGAGCAGAGGAGACAGAGAGAAAGAGAGAGAGAGAGAATCTCAACCAGGCTCCACACCCAGCACAGCACCTGATGTGGGGCTCGATCCTGTGAGATTGTGACCTGAGCCAAAATCAAGAGTCAGTCACTTAACTGACTTAGCCACCCAGGTACCCCAGTTTGGATTTTTTATATATGTAATATGGTTTAAATAAACTAGTACTTCACTCTAAATACAAAGTCAGGACTAGCACACCAGAGGCAAGGAAAACAAAAGCAAAAATGAACTCTTAGGACTTCATCAAACTGAAAAGCTTCTGCACAGTGAAGGAAACAATCAGCAAAAGTAAAAGGCAACCTACGGAATGGAAGAAGATACTTCCAAATGACATATTGGATAAAGAGTATCCAAAGTTTATAAAGAACTTGTCAAACTGAACCCCCCCCCCCAAAACAAATAATCCAGTGAAGACATGAATAAACACTTTTCCAAAGAAGGAATCCAGATGCTTAACGGACACATGAAAAGATGCTCAACATTACTGATCATCAGGGAAACACAAATCAAAACCATGATGAGACACCACCTTACACCTGTCAGAATGGCTAACATTAACAACACAAGAAGCAACAGGTGTTGGTGAGGATTCGGAGAAAGGGCAAACCCTCTTGTACTGTTGGTGGAAATGCAAACTGGTACAGCCACACTGGAAAATAGTATGGAGGTTCCTCAAAAAAATAAAAATGGAACTACCATACAATCCAGTAATTTTACTACTCAGTATCTACCTAAAAAATACAAAAATACTAATTCAAAGGGATACATGCACCCCTATGCTTATAGCAGCATTATTTACAATAGCCAAACTATGGAGAGAGCCCAAATGTCCATTGAGTAATGAATGGATAAAGAAGTGTGTGTGTGTGTGTGTGTGTGTGTGTGTGTGTGTGTTTGCATTGGAGTATTACTCAGCCATCAATAAGAATGAAGTCTTGCCATTTGCAACAACATGGATGGAGCTAGAACATATTGTGCTGAGTGAAATAAGTCAGTCAGAGAAAGACAAATATCATATGATTTCACTCATATGTAGAAATCAAGAAACAAAACAGATGAACATATGGGAATGGGGACAAAAGAGGAGAAAAGGAAACAAAACACAAAAGACTCTTAACAATAGAGAACAAACTGAAGGTTGATGGAGGAAGGGGGGTGGGGGGCCCACTAGATGGGTGAGGGGTATTAAGGAGGGCACTAGTGATGAGCACTGGGTGTTGTATGTAAGTGATGAATCACTGAATTCTACTCCTGAAACCAATACTGCACTGTCTGTTAACTAAAATTTAAACAAACAAACATAAATAAAGTCAGGACCAACAGCATAAGACACAATTCAATTTCTACAAACATGGTCCAAAGTTTTGAATCACTTAAAGCACTGTTTCCCCCACTCACCTGATAACTGCAGGTCATTATAATTCTTGAGTTCAGATTCCAAGCATGAGACAGGAAAAGAGCAATAAGGATAGGAATAGAATCAGGCTTCAAGCATTTCTGTGACAAAATGAATTGTGGAGTAAGAAGGAACATAGATTTACCCTCATGGCTCTGTAGTTGACATAGTGACCCAGAGGCTCTTAAGGATTTGTCATACTATGAGAGTTACCAAATAAAAAGCTCAAGTGATTTGAAATTATATTCGGATTTTTTTCTTAGTAAATTCATTTGTAGGTAATTGAAAAAAAATATTCAGAAGAGAATGGGTTTCTCAAAATGCATTTAAGTAGCCATTCCAGTACACATAGAGTTTTAGCCAGTATGTTGAGTTTCCATTTTGTGTTTGATGCCTTTCAGCAGATTGTCAATCACTAATAAAAAATAAAAAATAAAAAATAAAAAAACGTGGCTTTGTGGTCTAATAAATACTGGTGACTTTTTAAGATGTCAATTCTTAAAAAGGGGGAAATGCAAGATTATGTATGTTCTAAACATACACAATTTAAGCAGGGGCCCCTGGG